TGCCAGGGCCATTTAGGAATTTTAGTCCCTGGTGTTGTCCAGAAAAGTCATGTTGAGGGAATGGAAGGTGCTATGGCCACCTCAAACTTTGTACCAACTTCACCATGTACTTGTAGACAACTGCATAACCAAGTGACAGAGCCTAGTCACTTAAACTTGTCAGTGCTTTTCTGGATGTATATAGGACAATCCTACTTAGGTTTGGACTTTGAAGCCTAGGTATACTAGGGATGGTATCAAGCTAGCTTAGCTGCTGCAGCATACATCTCACATTGAAGACTGCACCCTTGTGGCCAGTCAGTGACTCTGGTCTGTCCTTGCTTAGGGTCTGCTACCACACTGATGATGGAGTACAGGGAGGTTAGCACAGTACAGGTGGACTGCTTAAAAACAAGAAATTGTCTTCCCGTGGTTCTGGAGGCTGAAGTACAAAGGTCAGTGTTAGCACAGTCAGATCTTGAAGAGGGTTCTTTCCTGGTTAATAGAGGGCAAGATCTTGTTGGGTCTTCATGTAATAAATAGTGTTTCATGCATGTCCAAGGAGCCAAGGACCCTTTCTGTGCCCTCATTTCCATGAAACTGCTTCCTCTGAAGGATGATCTCTTAATACAGTTCCTATGTGGTTCTCAAACCTTCAGCATATGAAATATTATGGGGTGATACACTGAGCTCATCCCAACAGGTTACCTGGCTCACAACTTCCAATGAGACAGCTCACCTCGCTTGCTTAATGTATTGTCAGAGAGAGTAGTAGCAACAGTCCAAACAGACCTTACAGGGGAGAGCTAGGGATGTTCCTTGATGTTCCGTCTGGGTAGTTGTTCAGAGTGGCCAAGGCAGGTCTGTCTAGGCTGCTCTCAGGAGAGGAATGGGAGCTATAGGAGAACTACCCAAGGTGCTGCCTAGGTCCTGCCATCTGTGCAATAGCACCAGGACCTGGATGCTGCTGTTTATTTTTCCCTAACACCCCCCCTCCCATGGGACTTGCACGGTACAAAAATCCTTCCTTTCTCTGCAGCCTCTATCCTCTATGCATGTCAGGATAACACAAGTTCCTGCCCTCGCACCACACCTGGTTTCTTTGTTTTATTTTTTATGTGCTTGTTTTTGATTTCATACACATCTGCATACTATGTGAGAGTGGTTCCTGCAGAAGTTAGGAAAGGGTGTCAGAGCCCCTGGAATTGGAATTACCAATGAAGTTGAGAGTCACCATGTGGGTACTGGAACTTGACCCTGGGTTCTTTGGCAGAGCATCCCAATGCTTTTAACCTTCTCCTGCCTTTGGTCTTGAAGTTATGCAGTTTTTCTTCTTGAATTGCAGGAGATCCTAAATGTGGATATTAGCCTTTTACCAGATATATGATTTATAAATTTTTTTCTTCCATTTTTTTTTATTCTGTTGCTAATATTCTTTTTTGGTTGTTGGCCTGGAACTTGCTATGTATACCAGATTGGCTGCAAATTCATAGGGAAGCATCTGCCTCTGTCTTAGTGTACAAAACTTTCAAATTTTGGTGGAGTCTGATTATTCTCATTTTGTTATCTGTAATGTCATGTTTAAGAAACCACTGCCAAGCTGGGCGCTGGTGGGGCACGCCTTTAATCCCAGCACTCGGGAGGCAGAGGCAGGCGGATCTCTGTGAGTTCGAGGCCAGCCTGGTCTACAGAGTGAGTTCCAGGACAGTCTCCAAAACATTACAGAGAAACCCTGTCTCAGTAAAACCAAAAAAAAAAAAAAACAAAAAAAACAAAAAACCAAAAAAAAAAAAACCACTGCCAAGTAGAATATATGATAGCACACACATGTAATCCCATCACTTTGGAAGCTAAGTCAGGAGGGTTGCAAGTTCAAGATCAACCTGGGCAACGCAGTGAGATACTCTCTTAAAATTTAAAAGTGAAATGAAAGCTGGAGATGGAGCTCGGTGGTAGTATCTGCCTTGTACCTTCAGTCATGGGCTTAATTCCCAGTGTCATAAAAGGTGATAGGGCTGAAGTGGTTTGTCTTATGCAGTTGAGGGAGTCCTCTTGTTTGTTTTGACATGGTCTCACTCCGTAGCCCAGGCTAGTCTTGAATGCTCTTACAATTTTCCTGCCTCGGCTTCCCAAATGCTAAGATTCCAGTGTGAGCCATCAGGCTGGGCTTAGGCTTTTTTTGTTTTGTTTATTTGGGTCTGGGCTGGCCTATAGCTCTCAGTACTGGTGTCTCAGGTTCTAGAACTTCGCATCAGGACTCCTCGTTTATTAGTTCCAGTGATAGTATAGAGGCTGCTAGGAAGTGTCTCTTTTCCTTCCTTTCCCCTTTAATGTTGAGGGTTGGAAGAGAATCAAGACTAATTCTTGAAATGTTTTAAGATTTATTTTATATTATGTGCATGTGTGAGTGCCTGCATATATGTGTGTACTACATGTGTGCCTGGTGCCTATGAAGGCTAGAAGAGGACATGAGGCTGGGAGTGGTGGCACATACCTTTAATTCCAGCAGAGGCAGAAGCAGGCAGCTAGTCTACAGCTAGCCTAGTCTACATAGCACATGCCAAAACAGCCAGATTTTATGAGAGACCCTGTCTCAAAACAAAAATACATTGATTTCCCTAGAGCTGGAGTTACAGGTGGTTGTGAGCCACCCAATGTTGGTGCTGGGGACTGAACCTAGGTCTTCTGTAGTAACAGTACAGTGCCCTTAACTGCCGAGCCCCTATTTACTTATTTTTGAGCTGGGTTCTTGCTACATTGCTCAGCCTGGTCTTGAACTTTACAGTAAGGCAACCCTGCCTTAGCTTCATGAATAGCTGGGTCTTCAGGTACACCACTACACCTAGTTAAATTTAAAACATTTGAATAGTTTTGAATTTACAGAAAAGTTACAGGATAGAGCAGAGGCACCCATGTCCTCGTCTCTAACAAGTTGTAAATGTTGGTTCTGTGTCTCATCATTGTTTAACTCCACCTTGGCTTGGTAATAGCCCAGGGTCGAGTCCACAATACCCACAGCATGACCCGTAATGTCTATTCCAGTGTGCTTCACCTGACCTTAGTTACTAGGCTGGGTAGTGGATGAGCCCATATGGCTCTACCTCTCCTCTGCTGGGCCCCTGGCAGAGTGTAGCCACTTAAAGAGGGTTGCCCATCCATCCAGGGCTCCATTGCAGCTACATACCTTGCTTTTGGGCTTGGGCGAGCTCAAGCTGGGAAAAAGTATCCATGGCTCCCAACTACCTTGCAAAGTTGATGGTCTGACTCTATGGTGAAGTCTTCCCACCCAGTGAATCATAACGGGATAGTGGACCCTAGATACATCTGTTCCTGGTGGTCCCAATTATCCAGAGGGAACAGAATACCATTATATTATGGGCATCTCATAGGTGACAGTGTCTTGGCAGAACTCTTACATATGACTGTGCACTCCTGTTCCTTTAGAGTATGTCCTAGTGCCCGAGGAGGAAAATTCTCTGCCTGGAGTTTTCCCTTCGTTGCATTCAGGCATCCCAGCTCCTAGTTCCCTCCTGTGCAATGTCCATGAAGATCCCTTTGCTTCATCTTTAGGATTCTCCATTCCTTTTGCTGACACCTTTTGGAACATGCTCTGCTTCAAGCAGAAAACCAGCATGAGTGTGGTCTCAACCACCTGTGAACCCTGGTCCTTTTATAGTGTCTAAAGGGTACGGCTTGACCAGTTCAAACTCCTACTGGCTGGTCCTGGAGTGCCATCCTCAGAAAGCATAAGGAAGTGGAAGGGGGCATGCTTACCCAGTGTGAATAGACTTGAAGAGGAGCAGCCTAGCCAGAGAGTCACTTGGCTCTAATTAGAGAAACCTCACACTAACTTCCTGAAAGTAGGGACCGAGCAGCTGCAGGAGACCTGTAAAGTGTACAGCTGCATAACCTGACCTGAGTAGTTGCTGTGTGACCTGATATCTGCCTGAGCTGGGAAATGGAGCCAGAATCTAAACTTAGAGCTTATGAAGGTTCTACATTTGTGTCCTGCTCAGAGGGAGTTACCTGTATGTGTATGTAGGAGGAGCAGCTCTGTTCAGGCTTTCTATTTTAGAAAGTCATTGAAAAAACTCAACCGAAGCAGCACTGGGGCTGTGAGTCCACTAATTAGCGCAGGTGTGCCCACTGTGCTAGTGCCTAAGGCCTCTGGGTCCAGGTTGAGGGCCTTGGGCATCCTTGTGCAAGCAGTCAGCCTCTCCTCCTGTGCCCTCTTTCCTACCAGGCCATGGCATATGCCTCTGAGGATGGGGTCCTCACGGAGGCCATGATGGATGCCCGCGTCCAGGATGCTGTCCAGCAGCACCAGCAGAAGATGCGGTGGCTTAAAGTAGAGAGACCCGATCCTGAGGTCAGCGAGCCACCGTCTCCTTGACTCCTCAGCTGCTGAGCTGGACCTGGACATCTTGTACACCTGACTGGGGACAGCCAGTCTCTGTGACCACACTATTCTCTTCCTGTCCTGAATGCCTTTGCCCAGCTGTGGGATGCTGGTGGTGTCAGCTTCTCTGCCTCCCACACCTCCTCGTCTGTCTCTCAGTGCTGGCAAAGGAAGGCATACTGCCTCCCTGCGCCCCAGTACACTGGTGAGACTTGTCTACAAGCCCAGATCAGAGAAGGGAGGAAGCAGAGTACTGTACCACAGGCCAATAGCTATGGCTGTGCCAGCAAGACTGGGACCTGCAGGGACCAGACTACAGGCAGGAAGGGCCTCTGCTTCCTGGACATTGCTTCTGCCCTGCATACTTCTGTGCCAAGAATTGGCCCAGTCCTTACTAGGTAGAGTGGATCTGGTGCTAGACAGTCTCTGGCCGGTGGCATCCAGGATTCAGAGGTGCCACCTTCCCCTTGACTGAACATTTTCAATGCAGACTCTAATAAAACTGTGACTGGTTTGCTGGTCTTGTCTCTTGGCTGAGGTGGCGGGGGGGCGGGGGACGGGACACTAGATGAAGGAGCCCTCAGCAGTCCCTGGGATCAGAGATGATGGAAGAAGCAGAGGCTGGAGCTTTCTGGAGAATTTACTGGCCAGGCAGGGTCGGCTTCACAGTGAGGGCTGGGACACCTGGGGCGCCACCACATCTTTATTGCTGCTGGGGGCCCGCCCTTCCAGTCCCACCCGCCAATCCTCCAGTCGCACACGCCCCATGCACATGCTCCCGTGTGCAGATGGGCGCAGGCCCTGACACATCCCTCCCCCTCCAGATGGACGGATGGACGACAGGTGCACAGGAAACTGTGGCTTTCAATGAGATGTGGCCTTAGGCTATCGTGACCCAGGCCATACCTGTCCCCGTTGCGAACCCACCACCCCTGGCCCCAGCATCTCTAAAAGCCTGCCTTTGTGTCCTGCTCACTGTGGAAACCAGGCTGCTGTCCCTGAAGCCCAGTGGCCATCCCAACCCCAGCCCCCACCCGACCCCCTTTATAAAAAGAAGAGACAGCACCTTCCACTGGATTTGCCTGCTGGCCACAGCCCAGCTGGCCACAGCCCAGCATACTCTGGGCCTGAGGCCGCAGTCCCGTCTCGCCAGCTGAGTGTCCACGAGGTCCCTTTACATGTGCACAGCAGCCCCGAGTCCTGTGCACTCACAGGTGCCGCGGGCTGGGGTGGCCGTTGTGGTACAGCTTCTGCTTCACATGCACCATGTTCCCTGTGGGCTCCTCGAAGGGCCTGTGCGGCCGCCGCCCCAGCTCCCGCAGGCTGCACAGCTTGGGCAGCCAGGTCCACGAGCCATCTGCAGGGGGACAGGGCAGTCAGGTGGCCGGGCTGGGCCAGAAGTGGTGCCCGCAGCAGCGCGAGGCACTCACCATAGCGCCGGCCAGCCCTCCAGGCGCGCACAGCACAGTGCAGGACACCATCCATCCACACCAGGAACCAGCTGATGCAGAAGCCCAGGAGCAGCCCCAGCATAAGGTCGATCTCCTGCTTGGTCACATTGTCTGTCACAAAGTAGTTCTCAGATGCGTCCACCACCGACTGGTCCCCGTCGTATGGGATCACGTAGTGGATGTGGTGCCTGGGGGCGGCAGGGCGGGCTGGCACCTCTCCTGCCAACCCTGGCCCAGCCTTCCCCAGGTCCGTGCTGGGCTGGTTAGGGGACCCAAAGTGGATGGCTCGACTCCTATGGGCCACCCTGGGAAGTTCTCTGAAGCAATCCCTGTGTGCTGGGTTGGGAGGGGAAACAGCAGCCCCAGGCACAGATAAGGTCACCTGGCAGAACTGCTGGGACAGGTGGAGACTGTAGCCCTGGAGATAAGGAGTGAGGTTCGAGGAGAGTAGGAATGGCTGGGGTGAATGCTCCACCCAATACGCCATCTTCCCGAAAGTCTTGCAGCAGGGTTCACATCCACCTACTGGCCCTGAGGGTCCTAGCCAACGTCCTAGCACAGCCAAATGACCCAGGCCCACCAGACATGCCCCGTGGCCTCCGCACTGCTCTCAGGAGGCCACCTACAAGAGACAGCATGTGTTCTTGCTCTCCCTTCACTGTCCCTGCCTTGGGCCTCTGGTTTTCTGTATCCACCCCCTGCTCATCTTGCTAGAGGTTTGGGGAGTCTTCTCTCTCCTCACTCATGTCCAGCGCAGACCCACCACATGTCTATCATTCCACTTACGGATCTCCCAATGGGCCCTTTTCAGTTATTGGTCCATGCTGGACCTTGTAAGTATAAGCACCCTCTGTGGCCCTGGTCATTTAGTGCCACACACTGCTCCTCTTTGCCTCCCTGTCCTAGGCTTCCTGGAACCATCCGTTGCTTTCTTGCCCTAGATCATCTCAGCTTGCACTGGAGTTCCACTATGGTTCCCCCTGGCTGCTGCTCCCCTTTCCTTCTGTCCTGTTGTTCTAGGTGTAGTGGGCCCAACGGATGGTTCAACTCCACAAAGCCAAGCAGTCCGGATGGTTTGGGTACCAACAGTGCCACCAGACTAAGCATCTTCCACCTCCTTCCTGACAGTATAAGGGCTGCCTGGGCTTCTGCTATGAGGCTGCCTTTCCTGGCCCCACCCCCTTCCAGAGCCACTAGTGGGTGGGCCTTCTTTCCACTGCCCACCATGTCTGCTAAAAGCTCCAGCTGCCTTTGAATCTCCACGTGGGATCTACAGACACTTCAAACGCATGCTGAAAATAGCTTCTCGCTTCCTGAACCTGCACCTCCTCTTCCTCTCAGTGAGAGGCTGGAACCTGTATCTGCCTGCAGTAGACCCTCAGCTTTCCCAAGATTTAAAACCCTTCCTTCCTTCCTTGTGCCCATTTGCTGATGTCCCTGGTCCCCATTGGGGCCACATGGATAATTCCTCACAGTGGGGTTGGTATCTTTAAACCCGAGCCCGGGTGAGCAGGGAGAAGGAGGGGGAGCAGTGACACTCCTCAAATCCTCTGATCTTAGAAACCCCAGGGGTCCTCGGTCTGTAGTTTGGCCAATCCCAGCAGGCAAAGCTTAGGCTGCCAGTCCTGGGTGCCTCGAGCTAGCATGACTGACACCTAGCAGCCATCACTCATCTGCTCATGTAAGCCAATGTCTATCATCATGATGGATGGATGGATGCTATTAATCTTGGCACAGAAAAGTATGGTTGCACCAGGCCCCAGGGAAGGTAGTGCTTCCAGATCATCAGGGATTGTCAAGGCTCTGGTGGGACTGGCTCAGCCTGGGCCCCACATCCTTCCTCCACACTGTCCCCAACATACAGCTGTTCCAGGAAAGGAAACACAAAGAAGCTACCAAGGAGGCAAGAAGGACCCTAGGTAGCCTACAAGTAGTCATTGTGAGGCCCAAGCCAACCTGAGGCTTCAAGAATGCAGGGGTTAGAGGTTATGACCTGTACCTTTACAGTTAACTTGGGTATCTACAGTTCCTCCCTTGACCTGACTCCTCCTAACCCCACACCAAGCCCCTGAAGGCAAGGGTTTCGGTCTTCCGAATGAAAGCAGGATGTGCTGTGTACAAATGGATGTCTGTGACATGTACATACATGTGTCCTACCTTCATGACACATGCTGCCATGTGTCCACTTGAGGTCAGTGTGTGTCCGGTATACACGCTGTCCGCATGCACAGGACATGGCGTGTATACTGTGGACTCGGGTCCCACAAGCCCCACACCCATGCACTGTGTACACTTTGGGTATGAGCATGGTGCGTCACACATAGATGCACATTCACTCAGCTTTGAACCAGCCACCCTCTCCGTGGGATGCTGTCATGTGCATGGATCTGTGTGTACACACAAATGTTGCCTGCTGACGTGCTTTGTTCAGAACATTAGTTTACATACATGTTCTCTATCTAAAATTCTGCAGATAGCCATGTACAAGGCAGACACATGTGTTCACTTATTCTGCAAAGTATGTACACACAGGCAAACTGTTGACACCACATGTGTACATGGCATGTGCACAGATACCCCATTTGCAAACTAATCTGCAGTCACTGTACCCACGCTGCAATGTTCTGACATTTTCCCTGAGCACATTGAACTGTATATTGTTTTTATATACATGTACTCTGCATACACATATATGTAATCAATATACAAAAGTGCTTTGTACAATGAATTTACATACCCTGTATGTAGAGTTGTGTACAAAGCACATACATGTAGACACTCTTGCGCACACAGGCCTTTCTTCAGGTTCCAATCTACAGGTGTCTGTTTACATGAGTCCATCTGTTTACATGGATGCTACATGAGATGCATATATACATATATATAACCTGTATAAACAGACTCTAAGAACATACCCTCTGTGCTCGGGTAAACCATTTAGCGGACAGCGCTGAACCAACCCCATTACAACAGCCCCCATATGTAGTGTCCATTCCCAATGTTCATGGGCCCAGTGACTGGATTCTGTCTTGGGAAGGCTTCAGAGCTCACCTACAGACATGGCCTGGGAACAGTAGAGCTGACCTCGAGTCTGAGCCCTCTGATGTGCCAGACAGACAGATGGTGTTCACCAAGATGGAGCATAGGGCTCTCTGGGAATGTGTGGCCACACAGAAAATTTTCCTACCATGCCCAACGCATGTGAAGGCACATACATCCCTTTTTCTACTTGCTGTAATGCCCATGATTGTAACACACTTGCCTGTACTCATGTACCCATACCCATATATGCACTTAGGAGACATGCAACTGTCCTGACCTTCCCTACCCTGCTCCCCCCCACCCCCATGTGTATGCAGCCTTTGGAGCAGAAGCATATGGTGGGGTAAGGAACTGAGGTTCTGAGATTCTAGCCTCATTCTTTCCTAGTTGTGTAACCTTGGGCAAGTCTACCCTCTAAAGCCTCCATCTACTTCCCTCTAGGCTGTCCAGTAGGGACGGTTATCGCATGAGGGCATCTCTGGAATGAGTGCATGCGGATGTGCGAGTGCGCTGTGTACGCACATGTATATGCACAGACGGTACACACATGCGCGGCTCATGAGAAGATGTTTATTTCATACATGGACATACAAACATGCAAGGCCAGAAGACTTCGTCACTACACATGCACAGAAGGGGGGGGTCCCTGGAGAGTGTGGTGGGTCTCATTTGTGACCTTGAACAAACCTCAGCCTGCTTCAGCTCCTCCTCTGCACAGTGATGAGCTGTGGCAGGTGTTCCTCAAGGTAGGCCCTTTCTATCTCGACCTCCTGAACTTGCCTGCCATGAACACGGTACAGGCCCAGAAGGAAGACTTGGGCCATAGGCAAGACTACTGTCTCAGGCTTAACCGGCTTCCTTGGCTTCCACTCTGGGCACTACTCAGGGATGCTGCTCTTAGGCCTTCCAGGCCCTGAACCAGGAGGCTCCATGGCCCATAGTGCCACCACCAGGCAGCCTTTTCTCTAAAGGAACTGGAGGAAGGGGTCCCTAACAGACTCAGTCATGCTTCCTTTCCCAGGGAGGCACCGGGCTGATCTGGGGTTCCCGTTGGCAACCCCTCCCCCAGCACCTGGCGGGCAGAAGCGGCCCCCACCATTCAGCTAGGCTTTGCGGCCCAGCCTGCTCCCGGCTCACCGGCCGAGTAGGGCCCGCTGCACAAGTGTGATCACGCGTGTAGTGCCTAGAGCCGGGGCGCACTCACCGGCCACAGTTGCAGTGGCAGACGCGGTCCTCGCCCCGCAGGTGCGGGAGGATGTAGTTATGGAATCGGTCCAGCAGCGCGTTCATGTCCATCAAGCACGCGATGGCCTGGAAGAGCCCATGACCGGTCAGGGCGAGGAGTGGGCCGGGCCGAAGGGGGTGCCGAGTGGGAGCATTGGGCTGCCGGGGTGGGTAGGTGGGTGGGGAAGCGCAAGGCAGCCAGGGCGAGGGCCGCGCAAGGTAGCAGCGAGGGTAGCGCAGGGCAAGCCGCGGAGGGCAGCGCAGGCCGCGCGGGCCGGTAAACAAGGAAGCGAGGTGGGGTAGGCGCGCGCGCGCGGGCGGCAGAAGCAGGGGGCGCGCGCGGGAAGCCCCTCCGCTCACCATCACGATCGACGCCCCCAGAATCATGAAGATCATGGTGTTCGCACTCATGGACATCGGGCGGGGCCGGGCCGGGCCGGAGCGCCGCCCCCCGGCCCCGGTGCCCCTCCCGGCCCCGGCCCGATGCTGAGCCCGCGCCGCCTCCGCAGAGGTCAGTGCTCGCGCACGGGGCCGCCGCGGGCCCCGGGGGCAGGCTCGGTCACAGGAAGCAGAGATGTGGGGGCTGTTGTGGGGTCGCTCGCCCGCCGCCCGCCGCTGGCCGCGCTCTGCTCCGCCCGCCGGTGCTCCTTGCGCCCGGCTCCCTGCGGTCGGCTCGGCGGCCCCCTCCCTCCTCCCCTTTCCCTCCTCCAGGCTTCTCCCTCCCTCCTTTTCTTCCTCACTATCTCCTCCCTCCTCCTTCTGCCTCCGCCTTTGGGGAGGGACTTCGCCGCCCCGCACCAGCATCCAGGGTCGAGGTTCTCCACTCCTATGCCTGTGACGCAGGCCGAGACCCCTCCCCTCCGGTCTCGGATCCACATTCTGCCCCATCTCATCAGTCTTGGCTCTGATCTCCTTGCCCAGTGCCACGCTGGTCTACTTGGCCAGGACCGGGTGGTCGTTTCTGTTCTACTTCTCCAAGTGAGGACCCCCCTCCTGTGTTCCCTGGTTCCTGAGAAGGACAAGAAGGTCAGCACCCAGCTTCCTCCAGCAAGAAAATGCCATCGGGGGAGGGGCCTACAAGGTCAGAGGAGCCAGGGACTATGACTACATGACTAGAGGTAGGAGGGCAAGAGATACGGAGTGGGGCAAACAAGGATGCCGTAGAACATCCTGGCAGAGGAAGGGAAGGCTAGCAGGCTTTTGGGAAGGAAGGGGTGCTGGACAGTGGCCTGAAGCAGCTCTGTGTCTATGGTCCTGTTGTGGCTGCCTCTGATACTGGGAACCAAGATGAGTTCCAAGTCCTTGCTTGTCCTGTCCACAGAGCTGACAACATAAGAACCAACCCTGCCCTGTGTGACAAACACCTAAGAGAACAGCTGACCTGCAGCCCCAAGTACAGACTCCACTGTGCACTGTGTCTAAACGTTCCAGCTGTGTCAGATCGCATAGCCTGGGCTGAAAGACACCAGGACACTGGTCCTCGCTCTCAAAGGGTGGCCTGTGGTATGAGGCAGGGCTGGACTTAAGGCCCTGGGTAGAATCTTCCCCTGCAGGAGTTCATAACAAATCAAAGACCTCCAGCAGCACCTATTTTGTGGTGAATCCAAGCCTCCCTCCCCCCATAAAGCAGCCTATTGTTTTATTTAGGTTTTGTTACAATCCAGCAGTGGAGAGAAAAGGGTTAGGCAGGCCAACAACAGACACTTGCTGTAGACTGTACAGTAAACCGTCTTTATTTCTCTTGGTTAAAAACAATGATTTCAACCTGACATTTCTGTGTACTTCTCATTCCATATGTACAGTACATAGATGACATACACCTAGCAGTATAAACAAACATCAGAACGGGAAACAGATTGAAAAAGAGGCTCCAAAGGTGGCTGTGCAGGGCAGGCTGCTCACCAACCACGGCTGGCTCAGTAGAAGCAGACAGTGTGCAGAAAGGCCCGGCCACTCTTCTCCTCAAACTCCTGCAGCAGCTCATCGATCTCATTCTCCATATCCTCAGTGTGCTGGATCTGAGAAAAGCACAGCCACGGTTGATGTCCAGGCACTGTGACACGCCTTCCTTCTACACCCCTGCCCCGTGCTGCATCTTCCCTCCTGTAGTGGGGCCAAGTCAGGACAGTTTCCTTAGGACTGTCCCAATGGTCCCTCCCTGGCAGTCCCTGCCATGGATGTTGATGGGCTCTAGACCTACACAGTGACCACTGTAGCCCCCACATCGGGAGTGGTAGAGTAGATTCAAAGGAAGGACTGGGTTCCCGGGCTGGAACTCAATCTCTGTTCTCAGACATCACAGGTGTATAGAAGCCTCACCAACCAGTGCCATCCCAACCTTGCAATGAGTGAAGTGAGGCATAGAAATATACAGGCATTTTCCTAGAACTGTGCAGCACAGAGGCTGACCATGTTTTGTGGTGGGGCAGCCTGTGCACTGCAGCATGTTAACAGGACATCTTGCCTCCATCCCCAGCACCAGCAGCTTCTGTTGTGAAAATATGAAAGGTGGCCAGGCATTGCCAGAAGTCCTTTTAACACTTTAAGTGAGGCAGGGTGGCTGCTGACCACACTGCCCTGGCATGGCTACACAGTCTCTTTGGTTCCAGCCCTTTCTCCAGATCATCAGGCAAACCACAAGCTCACCAACTGGAACTCCAGCAGTAATACTGAGAGTGGAAACTGTGCTGCCTTTAGCAGGGATGTGGATCCCCCACATCAACTTCCCTATCAGCCTCTACTTGGTGAGCCAAGAGGACATCAGTTCTGTTACATCCAGCTAACCTAAACATCTTTCTCAAGGGCAAAAGGCAGGACAAGGTACATGGCTCTTCCCACAAAGCCCCCGCACAGCACCTGAACAGGGTGACACCTCCACACAGCAGGTACACAAGCCCTTAGGAAGCTGCAAGATTGCCCAGGGGCCTTGAAGATAAATATCTACATAAGTATCGGGCAAAAGGACACAGAAATATCCCTATATCATGGATGCTACCTCTGGAAGTCCCCAGACCTATCTCTGACAATACCAGGTACTCTCTCCTAGCTGTCCACCAGAGGAAAAAGTGAAATGTCAGACCTGGGAGATGTCACACATCTCTTCTACCACAAACAGAAACACTGGGGTATGTTCTCCAGTAAAGCCACTTGGCTAACTTCCTAGACTGTGCACTTCTTGGTCTTATTTGAAATTTAATATTTAACCAGAATGTGAAAAATTGCTAGTGACGGGAAGCCCCCTCCTCTTGCCCAACAGGAGACAGTCTCATAGCTACTTCCTTTGTAAGGACTGCCTGGACCCAGGTGCTCAGACTCACACACTGGCAGAGCTCGCAGATGAGGAATGCCCCCAGAGTGGCCTCTTCATGGTTATCCTGGATGTCCACATTGACGACATGCACTGGCTGGCAGGTCTCCTGTTCTCTGGAATTCAGGTCTGATTGGGAAAAAAGAGATACAAATATTACTAGATGTTGGGTAACAGATGTGTCCAAGCTCAGCTTTCCCCACACCTGCTCCTGAACTGAGCATCTAAGCCCAAGGAACAACATAGGCTAAGTGAAGAAACCTAGGTAAAAGTATACTCAACTCAAGGCCACACTGTGGCAGGTCCAACAGATATGAAAAGCAAACACTGAAGGCCACAAGGCTTACAGAGACATGTAGGTAGTTTTGCTGGACATCAGTCCTCTGCTTACTTTTCACAGGCTATCCTCCAGATATCCATGTAGGACAGAGGATGAGGGGGGTGTCCTCTGCCTCCTTCACTGTTGCCCAGGGCCTGAGACCTAACCTTCCTTCCCTTATCCCTGAAGACCATAAATCTTCCAGCTTTGTGTTGGATGGCGAAGCCTGAAAGCAGACCAGGCTCTGTGCACTCACCTTCTACAACCTGGTCATAGACTCTTTCTTCACAAGTGAGGATCAGGTCAAACAGGTCCTTGCAGTTCTGAAACCTTTCTGGACGGGGCTTGATCCTTTTATTTCTGTCCAACATATGTAAAATTCCATTTTGTGTATAGCTGAACACCAGAGTCAAGGAGCTTTGGATAAATGATTGTTCACTAGACCAGCCTGTAAATAAATGGTCCCTTTGCCTGTCAGGATTCCAAGAAAACCCTTGTCAACAGAGGCATCACAGCTTTAGGTCTTAGTATAGGCCTGGTCACCACTGTCCCACATTAGAAAGGTGCTGTCTTCTTGGGGGTGTCATGGTTTCTATGAGACCCAAACACATGGCTCCAGATAGCCTTGTTCATTCTCACTGGACAGATAGCAGAGGCACAGCACCGGCTGCTTCCACTCAGGACTGTGGACTTTCCCTCTATCATACTGACCACGGCTCTCATCTGTGCTTTTAGCATTAGTTGTTTTACTGTCTCATCCAAGTACAGGGTAAAGCATTTGTTTCCTCTCAAACTGTAGTCCTACCAACAAGCCTCAATCTAGCTAAGCTACAGCAGGAAGAAAATCTGGAAACCCCACTATATTATTCCCCACACAGACAGGCTTTCTCTGTGTAGCCCTGGCATTTGCTCTGTAGACCAGGCTGGCTCAGAGAGAGATCCACCAGCCTCTGCCTCCTGAGTGCTAGGATTAAAGGCTTGCACCACCTCACCCCAGATTCCACAAATTTCTCAAACCTCAGCAACAGGAAGGACTGGAAACACCCATTGATAGTCCAGAAGTGACAAGTTCTGGTTAAACTGAAAGCAGGGGAGGGAGGCTGCCTGATGAGCCCAAGGGATAACCCAGATGATCCCTGCATGCTCAGGCCCATCAGCCCTGCTGAAAGCCAGGAGAGCCTTCAAGGTTGTGGCACCCTCTCCTCAGACAGTTCCTGGAGCACCCATAGTCTGTGGTTCACCCTGGGTTACTCTTAGAAACAAGCAATGTTTTAGGGAAACAGAAAGGCTATCCAGAGGCAGGTCTCTCCTATCATGTGGAGCTTGGGGACCTTCCTCAGGTTATTGGTGCCCTTACCCAATGAGCCATCTTACCAACTTGTCAGTTTATTTAAGTTAGTTCATGGTGCTTTAAAAAATAGCTCCTACATTCTGTACAGTACAGGAAGCTTTTGTTTTGTTTTTCCAAACAGGGTTTCTATGTCATTTTGGAGACTGTCCTGGAGCTCTCTCCCTGTAGACCAGGCTGGCCTCAAACTCATAGATCTGCTTGCTTCTGCATCCCGAGTGCATTAAGATTTATAATGGCCGGGAGGTGGTGGCACACACCTTTAATCCCAGCACTCGGGAGGCAGAGGCAGGCTGATCTCTTTGATCTCAAGGCCAGCATGGTGTACAGAGCGATTTCTGGGACAGGCACCAAAGCAATACAGTGAAACCCTGTCTCCAAAAACAAAAAGATTTATTATGCATACAGTCTTCTACTGACACATATGCATCCACACCAGAAAGGGGCACCAGATCTCATTATAGATGGTTGTGGGGCACCATGTGGTTGCTGGGAATTCTTTCCAGCCCCTAAAGGAAGCTTTTAAAATATCTAAGTGATTTAAGTGGCCAATCTAAACACTTTATCTTGAAGACACCTGACCAGGAGCTGCTAGGCAGTTCCATTTCCATCACCTGCTTCAGGGGCACAACACCATTCCATTTCTATCACCTGCTCCTATTTCCCTGATGCCTACAAGAACTGCACGGAGACTTAGAGAGTCCTTCAAAGGTCTTGAGGGGGGGGGGAGATGAATTTGAGACCAAACCCGGTGGCTGGTACAACTTCTGGGACAGAGGACACGGAGGAATAGATCTTTTGGGCAGTAATCCAATCAGGATCCAGGTACTTAAATTTCGCACTGACCCCAAGGAAACGCTGGAGCAAGTCACATGGAGAAAGCTAGGGATAATGGGATACTTTTGGGTCCAAAAGTGCTCCAAGAACTATGGTCACACAGAATGACCCTGCCTGGGAAGGCCTTGATACTGTCTCCACCACACACATGCACCTCTTGCCTGGATAGACTACTTTTAAGTGACCACACTCAGTGAAGAGCTATTTGATGAAGGTTGAGAACATTAACCGTGCCAGCAGCTCACCTGAACTTCACAATTTGGGATGGGGTGGAGATTTGAGACAGGGTTTCTCTGTAGCCCTGGATGTACTGGAACTGGTTCTGTAGACCATGCTGGTCTCAAACTCAAGAGATCCTCCTGCCTCTGCCTTCTGAATGCTGGGATTACAGGTATGCGTCACCACCACCCAGTGAATTTGGCACTTTCAACAAACTCCTGACAGCCTGCTAAAGAGGCCAGGCTAGGATATGTGGGTGGTCATAGTATCCAGGGCCCACTATCCAGGATCTCCTAACCTTGTTGCTATGTTTTTGACAACCTCATTGAACATAACTCTGGAAAACTTCAAGAGTCCCAAGCTTAAGCAAGGCTTGGGCTGATGCTTAATTGGCTAAGCCCTGGGCTTCCCAACAAAGCTTCCAAGGAGCCAGGAGTACAAATGTCAGGTTGCTTATACCCTCTGGTTCTAATTAGCTAGTCCCTGGAATGAGCGTCTTGAAAGCTGTGCTATGGCTAAGTGTGGATAAATTTAATCTACTTTCAATGAGCCAACAGTGACTTGCTGCCTTTTTCTTGAATGAAGAGCCACTCCCGCGTGATTCTGGAATCCCATACCTGTCGTCTGGCTTTCTGAGGAGCCTCCCCAAAAGAATGAAGGTGGGGAACAGGACTCAAAAGGGCTAACAGAGGGCACCAGGCCCTGGGATGTTGTCTCTCAACAGAGGTACAATTCAGTTATTTAAAAACTTCTAGATTTACCATTAGACAAACAATTCAAGCTGTTCTCATACAGCACACTTTTTTTGTTTTTTTTTCGAGACAGGGTTTCTCTGTAGCTTTGGAGGCTGTCCTGGAACTCACTTTGTAGACCAGGCTGGCCTCGAACTCACAGAGATCCGCCTGCCTCTAACTCCCGAGTGCTGGGATTAAAGGCCTGCACCACCAACGCCCAGCACACTTTTTTTAATACCAAGTGATATGATAGATTGGATACAGGGGAACAGGAACATTGGAGCTAGGTTCCTGGTTGACACCTGCAATCCTAGCCCTCATACAGCACACAATTTTTTAATACCAAGTGATATGATAGATTGGATACAGGGGAAAGGAGGTAAAGAGAGGAGGATCAGGTCAACTTGATCTACACAAGCCTTAGGGAAGCCTAGGTTACATGAAACCTTGTCTCAAAAAAGAGGAAGAGGCTAGGGAGATGACTTAGCAGCTAAGAGTGCTTCCTATACTTCCAGGACTCAAGTTCAGTTCCCAACAACCACATCAGACAGTTATCAACCTCCTTTAATACCAGCTTCAGGGATCTGATTGCCCCCTACCCCCTTTTCCAGACAGGGTTTCTCTGACAAGCCTTGGCTGTCCTGGAACTCACTCTGTAGAACAGGCTGGCCACAAACTCATAGAGACCTGCCTGCCGCGAGTGCTGGGATTAAAGATATGTGCCACCACCACCTGGCCTGACATTCCCAGCACCCACATGGCAGCTCACACCTGTCTGTAACTCCAAAATCTGACACCCTCACACAGATATGCAGGCAAAACACCAATGCACATAAATAAAAAAATCTTAACTACAAGCTGGGCATAGTGGATTTTGCTTGTTATCCTAGCACTTAGAAAGCTGAGGCAGAAGAACTGCCATAAGTCCTAAGGCAGTCTGGGCTACATGGTGAGTTCTAAGTCAGCTATGTGTAAAGTTAAGACCCATCTTAAAAAACAAAATGAAAATGAGAAAAGGAATGAGACCCTTTAGACCCACATGCACAGAACCTGCTGACATACTGTAATCTTCAGGGCCATGAAGTTGAGGGGGGCTGGCACTTTAGAGGCCTGCTTCCAGAATCATGCCACATATTCCGCTGAGTTGCCCTTGGAAGTGGATATTCATCCACTTGCAATTTAAGATTTTACAGGTGTAATACTAACCATGTCTTTACTAGTTAAGCAATTTCTCAAAGAAAAGCTATTTCCACAACTGACTTCATGGACAACTATGGGCTCTTCATGCAATATTAGCATCTGATACCTTTCCTATCAAGTAGGTGCAGAACCAGGCATGCTTAGCCACTTGCAAAGGGATGTCTTTGTACTTCCCAGAACACAGGACTTGACAGAACACCCTATAGAGAAAGGTCAGACCAATGAGACCCACAGGCAGGTTTTCAGTATCAAGTTCAACACAGGCCAAGGCCTGAGTTCTTATCTGTGCCCAGCCACCCAAGGCAAGGCAAGCAGCTTTCTGGAGAAAGGGAAAGTGTGCATAGGGTAGGAACTACACAACAGTCAGTCACTTGCTGGTCTTGTGGCTCATCAGTGCACACAGCTCTGCTACCATGTCTCCATGGCTTAATACCATGAAATGCCGGTATTTGTTGTTAGGAGGTACATACACCCTCAGCACCCAACAGTCATGGGCCCTCTCAACTGCCTCTCAAGAAGCTACCTACAAACTGAATTTCCTGGGTTAAGTCAGGCCCATGATCCTGCTATGGATAAATCTTCAGCAGAACTGTCAAGTACAGGTTTTACCCATCCTGCTGTTGAGAAGCTAACCAAGGGGGCAAGCACAAATCAGGCCTCATTTCTACAGAAACATAAACAGCCACATTTAAGACAAGCCTGACCCAGAACATTATGGCAATGTTCCCTGAGACAGGGAATCGGTAGAAACAGAAAGAATCCTGAGGGGCTCTAAACCTTGCTGCCATCACCACTGTCCTAACACCCCCAGCTCAGTCACAGCCTCCTCTCAGTCACACAGATACAGTCAGGGAAATGATACAGCTGCAGGACTCCCAGGCCCTCAGAAAAGCAGCAGAAAGCAGGCATTGGAAGGGGCACCAAATTCTCCTTCAACCTAACATCAAATCTGGCATGGTGACACACACCTTTAATCCTAGCATGCAGGAGGCAGAGGCAGGCAAATCTATTCTTTCAAAGCCAGCTTAGTTTGCATGGCAAATTCCAGTCTTGCCAGG